CTTTTGCCTCTGGCCCCGAGTCCTAACCATCCCCTGTCCGTCATCCCGACGGAAATCATGGATGGCTGAGCCACTGAGGCCCACCTTGGGCCTCACCTGGGATGTGGGATTGGGGAAGCCCGAGAGTGGGTGCCCAGGATGCCTGGCGGGTGCAGGGTTTGGGAGGGGAGGAGAGACACCTCAGACATGCTTCCCGGCTTCCAGAGCTGCCTCCCTCACTTCGCCCAGACGGAGTTCTCAGTCGTGCGACAGCACGAGGAGTTCATCTGGCTACACGACGCCTATGTGGAAAACGAGGAGTACGCCGGCCTCATCGTGAGGAAGGGCCGGGCAGGCTGGGGCCGTGAGGGGCAGGTCTGGGTGCTTGGGTGGGCCTGGAAGACTGAGCGACGCTTCTGGGGGTGGGTGATGGCCTTCTCAGCCATGAGAGACCTGCCCGCTCTGTCCGTCCTTCGAGCAGATCCCCCCAGCCCCTCCAAGGCCAGACTTCGAGGCTTCAAGGGAAAAGCTGCAGAAGTTGGGTGAGGGGGACAGCTCCATCACGCGGGAAGAATTTGCCAAAATGAAGCAGGAGCTAGAAGCGTGAGTGCTACTTCCTTTCCTTGAGCTCCAGGCCCAGCCCTGTCCTGAGAGTCCCCGGATTTCATCCCCTGTGGTTAGTTAGAGACCCTGAACTCTGACCCCAGGGCTCCTGAGGGGAAGGGGGTGGGATGATCAGAGCCAAGGAGGGCCCTTGAGCTGCCTGCTGATTTCCGCAGGGAGTACCTAGCTCTCTTTAAGAAGACAGTTGCAATGCACGAGGTCTTTCTGCAACGCCTTGCGGCCCACCCGACCCTGCGTCGAGACCACAACTTCTTTGTCTTTTTGGAATATGGCCAGGATGTGAGCTGAGCCAGAGCACACCCTTGGGTCACCCTTGGGGGTTGGGCGGGGAGGGCGTTAGGTGGGCTCAAGCCTCCTTCTCATCAGCTCCAAGAGTGACATGAGCCTGGGGTGGGAGGTGCGAGCACCCACCCCAGCACCATACTCTCCCCTGTGTGCCTCAGCTGAGTGTCCGAGGAAAGAATAGGAAGGAGCTTCTTGGGGGATTTCTGAGGAATATCGTGAAGTCTGCAGATGAAGCCCTCATCACCAGCATGTCAGGGCTCAAGGTGACCCCTGGGACCCCTCTGTGGATTCAACCCAGGGCTTCAGTCCACAGCAAACACTGAGGCCCAGGGTGGCTGCGGGAGGGAAACCACCGGTGGGGCACGGCCTAGAGGGAAATCGTGCTGCCCCTGCGAGTCCATGGCCACCATGTTCCTGCTGACTCAGTGTAAAGGCTCCTGTCTGGCTCTCTTAGGAGGTGGATGACTTCTTTGAGCACGAGAGGACCTTCCTGCTGGAGTACCACACCCGCATCCGGGACGCCTGCCTGCGGGCAGACCGTGTCATGCACTCCCACAAGTGTACGCAGGGCCCAAGGGGCCCTGGGTTCCCTGCCCCTTCCCCCTGGCATGCCTACTCCCTATGGGGAGAGAAGAGAACAGGAAACGTCCTGTGTCTCTCCAAGACACAAACACTGGTGCTGGGGCTTGATGTGCAGATCGAGGGGGTCTGATGGAGGGCTGTTCCCCAACAGGCCTGGCAGACGATTTTATCCCTATCTCTGCTGCACTGAACAGTCTGGGAACACAGGAAGTCAACCAGCTAAAGACGTGAGGACTCCCTCTAGCCCTTCCTGCCTCTGTCTATGCCTGTAATACCGGGCCTGCCTGCGAGGGGTCACTGTGGAAACGACCTATCAGCGTAGGTGGGAGGTGAAGTTACTGCTGGGATTTGGGAAACACGACAGGGAGATTTCCCCACTGCAGGGTATCAGCAAGGATAGCGCTAAGGGCAGGGAGGCTTTAAGCAACACCCTCTCAAGACTCCTGCCCTAACTCTTCCCCACTGCCTCCTAGGAGTTTCCTCAAATTGGCAGAGCTCTTTGAACGACTAAGGGTGAGTCCTGCCTTGTGTATTGGAAGGGCACCCAATCAATGATCCTTTGCAGGGACTCAATAGCCTCTTCCTAGAAAAGGGCAAAGCTCGAGGATCATTTCGGAACATTTGGTGATAACTTGGGCCCAGTGATACCCCGGACTCACCCTCAGTCAAACCCTAGTTTAATGAGCAGGAGAGGAGACAGGGATCCAGTCTGAAGTGTGTATGCAGTGATGGGGGTGGGGGTGGGAAGCAGGCCTGGCAAGCCGTGTACGAGGATGGGCCACGTGCCTCTGGGACGTTGCCCCGCATTGCCAGCATCCTGCCCCAGACACACACTTCCTGAACTCTCCTCCAGGAGTCAGCTGCAGTGTGCCAAGCTTTCTAAGACTGTCTGCGGGATCATATCTCCTCCCTGCTCAGGGACCTTCGGGGACCCTGCCCTTCCCAGAAACTGCCCCAAACACAAAGTCCAAGGTCCTTAGTTTGCTTTTTAGGCCTTTTGGGATCCAGCCACTGCCATCTGAGCACTCCCACTGACCTCATGGTTCCCTGAACACGTACGAGGCTTGCACACCTGCAGAGCCTTTGGCTGTTGTCTGATTCCTACTCAGCCCCCAAGATCCGGATCAGATGCCACTCCTCGGTCAAGTTTTCCCTGGCTTGCTCCCCTGAACATCAGGGTTTGACCTGGAGTGGTCATCAAGTGACTCTGTGGGCTGTTGAGAGGAGCAGCAGCACCCCAGCCCTTAGCTGCTCCTCTGCGAGCTCCCTCCCCAGCCTCCAAACTTCCTGATACAGAAGCTGGAGGGCCGAGTGGCATCTGATGAGGACCTCAAGCTCTCAGACATGCTGAGATATTACATGCGAGACTCACAGGCAGCCAAGGTAAGATAGGTCCCCAGCACAAACCTTGGGGCTGGAGGACAGCAGGCCTGGACCAACAGGGGAGGGCAGGCAGACGAGGCTGTGGGCATCGGCGAGCCTGTGCTCCTGCTGGCCCCAGGACCTGCTGTACCGGCGGCTGCGAGCCCTGGCTGACTATGAGAATGCCAACAAGGCACTGGACAAAGCGCGCACTAGGAACCGGGAGGTGCGGACTGCCGAGAGCCACCAGCAGCTGTGTTGCCAACGCTTTGAACGCCTCTCTGACTCAGCCAAGCAGGGTAAGCCCCATGGCCCCAGAGCCCCTGCCACTGGGCTTCCTACTCTCCCAGGGTCCCCATTTTTCCTCCCTCCCCTCCAGAGCTCATGGATTTCAAGTCCCGCCGCGTCTCCTCCTTCCGCAAGAACCTTATAGAGCTGGCAGAGCTGGAGCTCAAACACGCCAAGGTGAGCCCTCCACCCTCACTGTGCCCTCTTGCCACCTCCCTCCCAGACCTCTAGGTTCTCACCAAGTACTGGCAAGCATGTATTGGGGAGAGGTGGTCTGGGAGCCCCCCGTGGACTTTCGGGGTCATGTTTCACCTTGGACCGGGACCCTTCCCTTCCCATCATCAATGTGCCCTCAGTAAACGGCCGCCATTGTTGCTGAGGACAGGAACGCAAGAGGGAGGGGGGCATGACTTCCGAGTGTGGGAAGAACAGCCCCTTCTATCACGAAGCAGGGTGGCAGTGGTGGGGGACATCAAGGTCCTCTCTCCTATGCAGGCCAGCACCCTGCTTCTCCGGAACACCCTTATCGCCCTCAAGGGGGAGCCTTAGAGCAGCTACAGCCTACTTCAGGGCCTTTGGTGGCAAGAGTCCCCCAGATTTCCCCCAACATTCCACCTCCCCCACCACAGCAGCCACTAGCCAGGCCCCTAGATCTCCCAGGGCAAGCCCAAGCCCCACTCCCACCCAAGAGGAAGCTAGGGCATCATGGGTACTGTACTTGGCCACAGGTAAGAACCCCGACCTCAGGGAGGCCAGGGGTCTGGACCTCCCTCCACTCCTGGAGTCTGGGGGACAGCCCCCACCCACCCGGTCTCCAATCTCCCCCTCCCCACAAGCCCCCTGAGTCCATTTGTCCCCAGCCTGTTCACAAATAAAAGCCTGCTTTTTGTAGCAAGGAAGCCTGCTTAGTCCTTACTTCCCACAGCTCCAGGGCCCACCAGGAATGTAACCAGGGCACTATGGACACCAGACCCTGGGAACCCCACCCCCCCAACCAGTGCCAAAAGTAACTACCCTTCCTGCTTCCCACTTAAAAAGAGACACTGGCAAACTCCAGAGAACTAAGGAACCAGCTTTAACAGGCTTTTTTCTTTTCCCCCCAGTTTGGGTGTGCACGCGTCCATGTAATAAGTCTGCATGCCCACCCTTGGGGTGACGTTTATAGGATACCTTTACCTCCCCGGCTGGTGAAAACCCAAAGTACAGAGAGCCTGCAGCAATGCTAGCAAAAGGCTTGGGGTTCCAGCCAACACCCTCTTGGTTAAACACAGGGAGGTGGGGCCCAGGAGACTTGGGTCTGAAGTCCCGGGCTCCACCTGACCTGGCCCCACCCCGGACTCCAGTCACATCTCCAGAAGGCCAAATGCTCAACTTGGCTTCTGACTCACAGCAGCCGCTGGACCCAGCCCTCATAGATGAGTCAGCCATCCACGAAAGAAGTCAGAGGAAAACCAGAGAGAACCCTGAAGACAGAACAGCTCAAGAGGCACTTTGTAACTCGCAATCTCACAGCCCACACTGGGCAGGCCTGAGCCTGGGGTTGAACAGGCCTCACTGCCCAGCTGCCTACCCAGGGAAGAGGCTACAGGACAGTGTTCAGGTATGAAGCCCATTCTGCCCGAAGGGCTCCTGCAGACGGCAGCAGACACACCCCAGTTCAGCTAAGACCCCAACAGTTTGGGCCCAACCAGTGATACCACCTATGAGCGACAACTGTCAGAGGACAGCTCAGCCAGGTGCTGTGACCAAATGAAGGGGGTGGATGGAGGCTGCGTATAGAGAAGAGACACTGCTCATTATCTCAGCATACCTTCCCCTGCAAGGTCCCCTGGGCCCCAAGCCTGAAACAAACATCCCATTAGTGAGCCTTTTTATTGTTGTGTGTGTGTTGGTTTTTTTTTAATTGAAGGTCCCTTACTGGTCCTGCTTCCACGGGTGGCCAAGACCAGGGGAAAAGGGGAGGGGAACCAGGCGGCGCAAGGAGGGGTCATCTCCACAACATTCCATTTATACACAGAACTAAACAGACAAGCACGGAGTCACTATTGCGGTTAGAAGTTGGCAGCATGGGAAAAGGGAGGAACAGGTGGGGAATTGGGGTGTCGTTAAAAAAAATACAGGCCCCCCCCAAACTGGGGTGCCTGGGGGGAACTTGGTCTGCTTCAACCCAAGAGGAATCAGAAGATCAGAAGCGGTTTGGGAAGGCCAGAACCGTCAGGGATAGAGGGAAGAGGAAGGTCCAGGGGGTGAGGGGGGCTGTTTGGCAACTGGGGTGAAGGGATTGCCCTCCCCCTGCTGGGATCCCCCCAGCCCCTCCGGTCTGGCAGGAAGGGGGCAGCCTGCAACCCCCATGGGCAGGGTCTGGGGCTGCCAGATGCTCCAGGCAGGGGGCTGGAGGGGGCTCACAAAGGCTTGCCCTCCAGGGAGATGACGGCACTGCCCCCCAGTTTCTCTGCCAGGGTGCAGCGGTCCTTGACCTCCTCGTAGCAGTTTGCTTGTAATTCATGCTTGATTCCTGTGAGGAAGAAAGGGAGCATCTGTGAGCAGGATGCGTTGGGGGAGGGGAAGTTGGGGCTGGGAAGGAGCCAATCAGAACAGATGGAAGGGACAAGGTTACCTTCCAGCAGGCAGGGAAGAGGAGGGGGGAGGCATCTCATATACCATGCCTTTCACCCTGCTCTGCAGCCAAAGCCTGAACGAAAAGGTACGCGGCACCCATGCTGGCCCTTACCCGTCAGCTTTTTCTTGATGGCATCCTTGGAGCTGGCATAAATCATTTTGCTCTTGAGGGGTGCAGACTCAGGTGCCCTGGAGGGAAACGACAGAGAATATGCAACAAACTTCTCTCTCCAAGTCTGGAAGTGCCCTCAAGTTAGAGAGGACTTCAAGCACTCGGGCTTTGCTCAAGTTCCCTACTGACGAGTGTTTGTTACAATGTCCTCCCCGCCAAACACAGAGGTCCCATGCTGAGAAAGCAGGGTGAGGCAGAGCTAGGGAGGCCACAGAAAGAAGCGCCCGCAGGGAAGCTCACCAGAAGATAAACACCAGGTCCTCCTTCTTGCTCTCCTTGGTCTCATAGGTTGCGTCGTAGAGGGCATAGCGGCAGTCCTTGTCTGGCAACATCTTGACAAAGGTGGCATAGGGGTCGTCTACAGTCTGGCCCACATCACCCACCAGGATCTCCTTGCCCTCCTCCAAGATGATGTTCTTCTTGTCCTCACTCAGGCAGAAGAGCACTGCCTTCTTGCGCTTCTTCACCTCCTCTGGTGTCGAGGACTTGCGCACCTTCATGTCATTGAACACTTTGATGACACCATCGGAGACCGCCACGCCGGAGGCCTAGGGGACGAGCCACATATACTTCAGAAAGGAAATACTTTGGGGGGCACCTGGGTGGCTCAGTGGGTTAAAGCCTCTGCCTTCAGCTCAGGTCATGATCCCAGGGTCCTGGGATGGAGCCCCCGCATCCCGCTTTCTGCTCAGCCGGGAGCCTGCTTCCCTTCCTCTCTCTCTACCTGCCTCTCTGCCTACTTGTGATCTCTGTCAAGTAAATAAATAAAATCTTAAAAAAAAAAAAAAAAGAAAGAAAGAAAGACTTTGGGACTCCCCCTTGAAAGATCTTAAGATCTCCTCTGCAATCTTAAGAGATCCATCTCGGATGCCAACAAGTCCTCAACCAAGAGAGCATTACTCCTTCCCAAGACAAGTGTCAATATTTGCCACCCCACAAAGCCACCATCCAAGGACCAAATGAGACACAACCCCAGAACGGCAGCCATACAGGAAACCTCTTATCATCTAATTCAACATCATTCCTCCTCACCCAACATCTTACAGTCCAGAAACCGAGAACCTGTAAGAAGCAGAACCTTGGCTTTGACGTCAGCCCAGAATTAAAAGAATCCACAGGCTCCTTTCTTACTCACAGTACTCCATCTCAGCTTCTGGATAATAGTGCTGACTCAAAACTTCACAGGTAGGAAAGGGAGACCCAGGCACCCAGGTTAGAGCCACCTCTTCTGGAGGGAGAACGAGGACCCAACAATGGTAGACAGGACACCAAGGAGTTTAACAGTTCTCGTTAAGTCCATCAGAACTAGTCAGTGCAGTTGTTCACAAACCATCCTCTTTGCTGGAATCATCTTCAACCAAAGCAAGAATCACAGTCCCTAATTAAAACCCTAACCCATTAACTCCCCGTCCTCCGAGGAAAATGTAGGACCCGAAGACCGCTGACATAAGTTAGCAGGTCAAAACCAAATACCGCGGCGCTCGAGAGCTCTTTAAACGTCTACTCTGGGTCGTGTTGGAGGAGGGGCACCCTAGCCTGGAGGGGGGCTACTGCCCACAGTGAAATCTGCGGCGCCCCCCGCGCCGGGAACTGCAGAGGAAGCCGGCCACGTGACCAGCCGCTTCCGGAGTAGGCGGGGAAAAGCGCTCGCCCGGCCAGGCCCCCTCCGGGAGAAAGCAGTACCCGAAGGTAGGAGCACCCCCAGGGCCTCAACCCCGAGGAATCGCCTTTTCCGACCGGCCTATCAGCCCCCTCCGCAGCCGGCCGGAGCCTGGACAAGTTACACAACCTTCAGTTCTCGTAGCCCTGGGGCCGAACACAGGGGGCGGGGTGGTTTCCGGGCGGTGCCTGCCTGGGTCACTTCCCTAAACTCGGCTCCACCCTCAGGCCCCATCCGGGAAAGCCGAAGGCCCCGCTTGTCCAGGGCTTCGGGCCCAGCGGCGGGGCCTGAGCGTGTGCGCACGCGCCGGCGGACCGTGCCGTTCCAGCCTCTGCCGGATATACAGAGCGGAGAACCCAGATGGCTTTGTGGGCTCCCTCGCAGGGCCGTGATCTCCGCGGTGCAAACCCGTGGCTCCGGGTCGCGCGGTGCAAGCCCCTAATCCCCAACGTCAGCACCCGGACCCCTCCGCCCCCGCATCCCCTTGGCCCTCCGCCCCCGCCCCTCCTGGGCGCAGACATCCCTGCCACCTGCTCTCTACAGACCCGCCAGCCGAGGGAGGGTGACGCGGAGACAGGAACAGCGCTTGGGTGGGGCGCGCGCGCTGAGACCGCTCGCGCGCTTTTCCTTCGCCGCCCCCGGGCCGGGTTCCGACGTCGCGTGCTCCCGTCGAACGCGCGCCCCCGTGAATCGATTTGGCTCAGCGCGCGCCAGCGGCTGCTCCGCGAGGGGCGGGCGCGCGCGCGCCGCGGACCCCCTCCCCCACAGCCGGTGTCCGCGCGGGCGCAGCAGCGCGGTGGGGGAGGGGAAGGGAGTCCAGGGGGCGCGCGAGCGACGGCCGAGCCAGCCCTCCCCAGCGTCCGCGGGCGCGCACGCGCGTCCCAACACCGCCCGCCCCTCAGCCCGAGACCCTCATCCCGCCCGGGGCGCTGGGGGAGGGGGTGCCGACGTCGCTCCACCGTTCCCTCCCCCGCGCGTGGACGACCGATTCGCAGCCGCCTCCCCTCAGTCGCCATGGCCTGCTGCTCACCATGTTTCCGGAAGCGAAAAGGAGATAGCAAGGAGAGTCAGGAGAGGTGAGAGCCGCTGCAGCTGCTGCCGGGATCCGACTGAACGCGGCCTCTCCCGGCCCCTTCCGTTTAGTACGAGCCGCACAATGAGGGGCGGGGCGGGCTTCCGGCGCTCCCCCCACGGGCCGACGGGAGATGAAGTCCGAGGGTCCTGCGCCGTCCCCGGGCTCACTGGGTAACAGAGTCTTTTTAGCCAGCCGGCCTCCCAGCGCCACATTACATGCTGGGAAACGTAGTCCGAGACAGCCGAGAGGGACTGTGGCTATGGCACGGAGAGCGCGCCCATTGGTCGAATTTTCCAGGAAACGCTCCGCTGAGCAAAGGCCCCCCGCGCTAGGTAATGTGACCCGAAAATGAGCTCTCGACCCCGCCGCTGGTCACCCGCGGCGGAACTGTTTCCTAAAATCCATCTTGGCAGGTTATGGTCTGAAAATTTCTGAATTGAAGCAACTGTTTATTGGCCTGGAATCCTGTCCTAGATAGAGCAAGGAGAATCGCAAATTCAAAGGGTCTTCAACCTTCGTATGCACCTTTTATATACAAACCCACTCGTCTCCTGAGAAAAGGCCATATGCAACTTAAATAAAATTAGAATAAGAGAAAACACACAAGAGAAAGGCTACAAGGAAGTCTTTGAAAATAGAGCTTTGTCCTTGTTTTAAAGACGTCTGGCAAGTTCACGAAACAAAGGGAGAAGGGCAGGGGGTCGTGCGATCAATTCAAAGATCGTGTGCCTTTTACTAGAGAGAGTGAAAAGAAAACATATATATTAAACCAGATTTGAATCACGTTCTCGCGTTGTAAGCCAGGTATACAGTTAATTTAAAACCCGGAAAAATTAAGACACAGCTCTGTGTTAGCCTGAGTTTCAAAAAAAGAAACGGGTGGGGACTACGGTGAGTTTTCGTTGGCCTCGAACGACGACCTTAGGCCTTAGTCTTAGGCTCTGCGGAAAGACTACAGAGTGGCAAACAAGGGAACTAAGGGTATTGATCCCATCAGCAGAATAAAGAGTGTTAATGAAGAGCTGGAAGCCCGGTCTTCAAGACCGGGAGTGGGGCACCTCGCAGGGCATGCCGGGGATTGTAGTCAGGGACATCCCGCTGCACCGCCCACCAACCGAGTTCCCGGGAGCCCCAGGTGGAGGCCGCCGCCCGATCTCCAGCCCGGTAAGCGACCCTGCCAGAAAAGGAGACTGTCTCCACTTTTTTCAAGCCTCGGAGTTTCCAAGAGTAACGAGAAGGGGGAGAGAGACTTCGGAGTTACCCTGGAGACATGCTCCCGCCCGCCCCTAGCCACGGGATGCCCTAGATGTCCTTATTAGGACAAGAGACTCGAGGGGGTGGGGCCAACTCGAACGCCCGACGGAGGCTCCTTATAAGGCAGCCTCGGGAGGGAGGCGAGAGTTCGGAGCTGGCTGGGAGGGTGGGGGGAGCCGGGTTCGCGGTTGGGCGGAGTCTGAAGGGGCGGGCCTGGGGCTGTGGTGCCCGCCTCTCCACTCCTCGAAGGCCCGACCCCAGCTCCTCGCGACTTCCGTAAAACAGCTGGGGGAGAACTTAACTCCCTGGAGAGATCCTCGAGCCGTACCTGTTCCTCAACTTGGGACCCTTCTGCATAATCCTAAACCTAAACTTCCTTGAGGGTCTCCCACCTCCAATGAGTCACAAAAATGACTATGTGTTCTCCCTTTCAACCTTCGTTCTGGCTCTACCTCCAGTCTGCTCCCTTGAATCTAACCACGTACCTATCTCAGGCCGCCCCCTCCCCCCACCGTGAGGCGCAGCACCTCCTATATGTCCCCCTTCTACTTGTCCTCTGTTCCCCTCCGTCCTCCTAGCTTTGGCTTTCCCTGAATATCCCCGACTTCGCTCCCCTCCTCCATTGCTAGATCTCCACGCCTCGCTCCCCCCACCCCAGCTGGGGATCTCGTTTTCTTCGGAGGGTCCTTAGCTCCTCCTACATTACCTTTGTATCTTCATCCCCAGTACTGCTTTCTAGATGTCCGTCCTATAAATATACCTGCACTCATTTGCACCCCGCCCCGGCCCCCACCTCTTGGGCTTTTCAGAAGCTCAGTCCCTCTCCAGCATCCCCGGCAAAGGTGAGACTGAAACGGACAGCCTCAGGTTCACCACCCCCAGCCAGCCCTCCCAGCCACACCGAGGCGCTGTCGGCCTTTCTGTCTCCGCACAAAGAGGACACCCCCCACCCCCACCCCGCCACCCCAGCTCTCGGAACTGGGTTGGGAGGAAGGGGCGGGACAAGGCTGGGGGCGGGAGGGTATGGGTGGGGCCCGTCCTTTTGACTGGTTTGGGACGGGAGGGGCGAGAGGGTGAAAGGTCGCAGAGAAAGCGCTCGGCACCAACCGCTTAGAGTAGTGCGGGGGCGGGGAGGGCAGCAGGAGGCTCTTCCCTAGTTAGTGCCCTGCGTGGGGCCACGTGATTGGAGAGGTCCCGCCCTCACCCTCCCGAGTCAGGTGTTCGAATCCCGTCTTCAGAACTGGCGGCGTCCCAGTCGGGTCGGCGCGAGGCGCCAGAGGACCCTCCCTGAGGCTCATGGCAGCGCCGGTCCGCCTGGGCCGGAAACGCCCGCTGCGGGTTTGCCCCAACCCGCTCTTCGTACGCTGGCTAACCGAATGGCGGGACGAGGCAGCCAGTAGGGGCCGCCGCACGCAATTCGTGTTTCAGAAGGTGCGTCCGGGCTCGAGATGGACAGGTGCGGGCAGGTGCGGGCGGAGCCAGCCAGCCAGGCCCGCCCTGACCTGGTACGGTACCCCTGCCCCCGCCAGGCGCTGCGCTCCCTCAGGCGGTACCCACTGCCTCTGCGCAGCGGCAAGGAAGCTAAGATCCTACAGCACTTCGGAGACAGACTCTGCCATATGCTGGACCAGCGGCTGCAGCAGCACGAAGCATCAGGCGGTGAGCGCTAGAGTCAGGGTCGGTGGTCCCCTGAGCCTCCCCCCAGGCGTAGCCTCCGTAACCACCTGGGTTAGCTTCAGGTTCCCCACTCATGTCCAAGTTGCTGTTTGACCTCAGGTTAGTGGCTGGCTAGCAGAACCTCACCCCTGTCGCCTACTACATGAGCTGGCAGTGTCCCAGACCTTCCCTCCTGCTGGGTTCCATGGCATTGACTCTCTTCCGTTGCCGCAGGTGACCATGCCCCAATTTCATCTGGAGGGAAGAGTCCAGCCCGGGAAGGACCCTTTGCCACAGTCCAGGATGCTTCCATGCCAGTGAGACGTGGGCAAGGGGAGTGAAAAGGAAAGTGGGAGCACCAGGAGTAAGATTTTCTGGCTGGGGGAACCTTATGCCTGGGTCCACTTCTGCCACCAGTGATGCCTGGCTTTGGGCAAATGACTTACGCTGGTGCTTAGTTCTCTTCTCTGTAGATAGAGATACTGAATGATAATAGAGTCAGGTGAGAGTTCCAGAATCAGACTATTTAGGCCAAGCCCAGTAAGTCATGACGATTGCTATTATTGGCTTTTCTTGCCTTACCACCTCTGTTCCCCAACCAGTGGTAAAACTGGGGCTGGGTCAGGCAGATTACACCCCTCACCCCATGCCCACCCCCCCCCCCCAACCTTCCTACCATCTCATCCCAGCCTTACAAGTCGTACCATCATCTGACCCAATTTCCAGACAGGGAAACTGAGGGGCGGCTGAGGGACTCATTCGGGGCTGTGTAGCCTGCTGAGACAGGACCTGAACCTCGGCCCTGCCAGGGATTCAGTCCACAATGGCTGATTGGTTTCCATGTTCAAAGCCACGGTGATTCTTTCAGCTTCCAGCCCAGCCCAAAGCAGGGGGCTCAGGCAGCTACTGGCCGGCTCGGCACTCAGGTGCCCGCGAGATCCTGCTGCTGCTCTACAGGGAGCACCTGGTGAGCCCGTGGCCAGCCCGGGAGGCAGGAGCACCCAGGCACTGGGGCCTGAGGCTCCTGGAGGAGGTCGGCCCTAGCACTGACCCTATCTGAGTTACATTTCTGCCTTGGTTACAGAATCCTAGTGGCCACGGCTTCCTAGCCAAGGAGGAGCTGCTGCAGGGGTGTGCCCAGAAAGCCCCCAGGGTGAGCCCTGAGCAGGGAAAGGATGGAGCCGAGTGGTGGCGGGTCAGACCCTAAGCCCACCAGGGACTTCCCTTCTTGGGAGCAGGTGGTGGCTTGGAGCCCAGAGAGTTGGACTTATGGTACCACCAGGAGCTTTCTAAGGGTCTCTCTTCCCCTATGGACAGGTGGCCCCTGGGAATACTCGACCCTGGCCAGCCCTCCGCTCCCTCCTGCACAGAAACCTCGTTCTCAGGTCACACCGGCCAGCCAGGTGGGGTCAACTACAGGGGGAGACAGGAGGTGTGTGTTGGGCATTGGGGGGAGAACAGGCATGACGTTCTGAGTGGGGCCCTGCCGTCACCCAGCAAATCGCAGGCCTTGTGCTGTTGAGTTGGGTATGGGAAAGGAGGACCTTACTTGCAGGAGCCCATATCATGAGAGTACCAAGAGGACCCGAGAGACCAGGCACTAGGCAGGGGGAAGGAGAGGTGCCACAGGTTTTACTGGAAGAGCAGAATGCCTTTGCTGAGGACCCAGCATTTGGACACGTCTTAGAATTTAGTTGGGGAGAGACGCAAGAGCAGCACTCTGGAGAGGAGGGACAGGGTGTCCGAGATGTGCTTGTTGCAGACCGAGACATGTCCCTGGGCAAGTCCCAAGAAGGCTATCTGAGGAAGGAGAACACAGCCCACGGGTGACTTGTTTGGGCAGGGGTCGCCAGGGTGACTTGTTTGGGGCCAGGCAGGAGGGCGTGCCAGGTGTGAGTGAAGAAGGGAGATCTGTGTTCATCAGGTACTCGCTGACGGCGGAGGGTCTGGAGCTCGCTCGGAAGCTGGCTGAGTCAGAGGGCCTGAGATCACTGGACATAGATATCAGGCCAGAGGAGCCCCCTGGGGAGGAGCCAGAAGTGCCAGGAGCGGCCTCTGCTAAACTGTGAGGAGGAGGGAGAAGGGGGGTCATGGTCGGGGGGTGGGGTGGGGCAGAGGTCTCCCAGAAACAAGGCCAGCTCTCTCTCCATCATCTCCAGCTGAGCTGCCGCACCCACTTGGGTTGCAGGGGGCGGCAGTGTTGGGGGGCTGCCTGGCTCCGGTGTCCTGGCCTCAGACACGCTGACGCCCCCCTCCCCCTTGTAGTGGCGCCAGTGAAGGGAGTGTCCAGCAGCCGCCCCTGGAGCTTGAGCCTGGAGAGTACAGGGTGCTGTTGTGTGTGGACACCGGCGAAGCCAAGAGGTGAGGGGGCTGGGGGCGGAGGAGCAAAGGAGGCGATGCTGGGGGGGTGGGTGGCAGGGGCCTGCCCTGATCTAGGCCGCCTGTCTCACAACTCCAGGGCGGGGCACAGGCCAGAGCTGCTCCTCGAGCTACAGCGTCTGCGTGTGCCCCACATGGTGCGCAAGCTGCACGTCGGGGACTTCGTGTGGGTGGCTCAAGAGACCAGGCCCAGAGACCCAGGTACGGGTGTGGACCGAAGGGCAGGTATCTGAGGCAGGGCCCTGGGGGGTTGGGGGGTGCGGGGATAGGAGCCAACAGAACCCTTCTTGGTCTCCTGGCAGCAAGACCTGGGGAGCTCGTCCTGGACCACATCGTGGAACGCAAGCGGCTGGATGACCTGTGTAGCAGCATCATAGATGGCCGCTTCCGTGAGCAGAAGGTTCCTAGAATGGCCTCGCCATGCCCCCCATTCCCTATCGGCTCTAGGGCCCCTCTGAAGCCCGGGGGTGTTTGGCTTCAAGGCAGAGCTCCCATACCCATACCCCCATTAAAGCTGCACCCAGCCAGCTCCAAGATCAGAGCTCTCGGGCCCCTGTGGGCGCACAGTAGGTGCACAGGGTGACTGGGCTGGACTGAGGAACATATTCCAGAGCGCTTGGGGCGGCCAATGCCCACGGTCCAGGATAAACAAGACCCAGACCCCCAGGAGTGGAAGCAAAGCGGCTCAGTCTGGGTACTGGCTGCTGGGCTGGTTGCACAGAGAGGCCGTGTGTGGGCCGAGTGCGTGGGAGAACGCCCGTCATTCAGAGATGATGGGAGGCTCTTCCCGACAATGGTAACAGTGTGAGCAAAGGTGGAGGCCCCGAGACAGGCAGAAAAGCTAGGGAAGATGAAGAGGTGGACTGGTGACGATTTTGAGTGTGACACAATTGACAGCTGGAACCTGACCCCCCCCCACCTTGTGTCCCTCCCCAGTTCCGGTTAAAGCGCTGTGGCCTGGGCCACCGAGTGTACCTGGTAGAGGAGCACGGCTCAGCAGACCACCTCAGCCTTCCCGAGAGCACTCTGCTGCAGGCTGTCACCAACACTCAGGTGAGCCCGGAGGGCCAGGCCAGGCTGGCGGGGACCCCATAGTCCATGGCTCCAGCCGGGAAGCCCCTTCCTCTCCTGGGTGGGCTCCTCTCTCCCAGGTCATCGATGGCTTCTTTGTGAAGCGCACGGCAGACCTCAAGGAGTCAGCTGCCTACCTGGCCCTGTTGACACGGGGCCTCCAGAGACTGTACCAGGTGAGCGGGTGCCCCTGTCCCTGTCCCCCCCCAGTCCCTGGGCCCTGGGCTCCCCTGAGGAAATGAAATGAGCAAGATGCCTGGTGTTCGGGCTGGCCCATTGAGGCCTAGGATTGGGCAAGGACTGGCCGGGGGTGGTCCCCTAGAGCTCTGTCTGGGCCTCAATTTCCTCTCCCCTCAGGGCCGTACCCTCAGCAGTCGCCCCTGGGGAGCCTCCGAGGCCTCTGAATCAAGGCTGGGGCCCTCCCCAAATCCTCTGTGCTCACTCCTCACCTTCAGTGACTTCAACGCAGGTGCCATCAAGAACAAGGTACTGCCTCGGCCCACTCCTCCTCATGTGGCCCAGCCCTGGGCCACTCCTGACCCTGTCCTCCCCCCTCCTAGGCCCAGTCCGTGCGCGAGGTCTTCGCCCGGCAGCTGATGCAGGTGCGCGGAGTGAGTGGGGAGAAGGCAGCAGCCATAGTAGACAAGTACAGCACCCCCGCCAGGTAGGCCCCCGCAGAGCTCTTGGGGGGCGGGGGTCCTCCGCCCCTACCCTACCTGGCTCTACCAGTGCCTTGTGGTGGGGTCTGGCTGTGCCAGGGCTGGACAGACCCAGAGATGGACAGACCCGACTGAGTTCCCAGAGATCAGGTAGTAAGGCAGACCGAGCCCGCTAGGACCAGATGGTATTTCAGGCACCTAGGGGAGGCTCCAGGAGAGATGGACACTTTCCGCCGGGTGCAGCAGAGGCGGCTTCTAGAGGAGGGGGTTGGGCCATAAAGATGGGGTCAAGTGAGAACATTTGCAGCTCCATGAAGGGAGGGTGAGCTGGATGGAAGAGGGCCTTGAATGCCAGACTCAGGAAGTATGGCAACAGTCCTGACTCCTTCTGTCTGGCTCCCACGATGGTGGCCTAGCCGCCCGGAGCAGGCCAGCTATCCCCTATTGTCAAGCTTTAGAAACTCAAACACCCCACCCCACCTCCAGCCTACTGGCCGCCTATGACGCCTGTGCCACCCCCAAGGAACAGGAGATGCTGCTGAGCACCATCAAGTGTGGCCAACTGCAGAGGTGACAGCAAGGAAAAGAACCGGGGGGAGGGGTTAGGGCTGGGGTGCTCTGGCCCATGGCCTGACCCTCCCCTGCCTCTTTGTGCAGGAATCTGGGGCCCGCTCTGAGCAGGACCTTGTCCCAGCTCTACTGCTGCTACGGCCCCCTGACCTGAGCTATGCCACGAGGGCCGACTCTGCCTGCCCGCACAACCCCACCCCCCACCTTCACAGGCTAGCCAGCTTTTTAATCCGAATCTATTTGGCCACAATAAAAATATAAGTATTTGCAGCTTTCTGTATTTATGGGGATGATGCTGGGCCCCACGGGCCTTGTGAAGTATCCAGGCAGGAACTGGGGAGACCAGCAGGTCCACTGGTTTTTAAACTGAGCTCCTCGGGACCCTGGGGTTCCCTGGGGGAGCATTGAGACTACCAGGGAGATGGAGTCAGTGAGGCGTTGCAACTTTGAATCTAGTTTATGTCTTCAGAGTTCCCCGATCAAATAACATTTCCTTCAGTAACATGTTCTGTATTTTGGAAAAGAAATGTCTGGAAAGTGCTCATGGTTTAACTGCCTCATTTTATGGATTGGAAAACTGAGGCACTAGAAGCTACCAGGGTTTAGCCAAATTGATAGTTTGAGGCCAAGCTGGGAGTAAAACCCAAGGCCTCCATTGTCTACAGTGGAGTTTCCCAGGTCCCCCGCAAACCAGTCAAACCCCAGTTCCTGGGCTGGGTCCTGAAGTCTGCAGCCTTATTACCTCCCTTCTCATAGTGGTTCTAATGTGCATGGTCGGCCAATCCTGGCCTTGGGGATGCAGTTCCCAGCTCCTCTCTGTGGGGCCCCTGAGCCTGAAAGAGACATCCCCCCCCATTTTGGGTGACTGGCCCGCCTCCCACAGCCGGGCCCCTTCCCCCATCCAGGGTTCACTACGATGTTCCCCACCCACCTCAGCCACCAGGACTCCTTCTTTCTCCCTTTATTGCCTTTCTCTTTCTACTCTTCACAACAGCATCTGCCCTTGCAGCGAGCACAGACATCCCTGAGCCCCAGGCTCTCCGGCTGCAGGAAGCCTCTCCCTCCCTGAGGGTCCCCCCACCCACTCCTCAGAAAGTGTAGGCCCCCACGAAGACGGTGAGTCTCAGTACAGAACTGGCCCGGTAGCTCATGAGGGAGTTCATGGTGACCATCTCGAGGTCCAGCACGTACTCCCGGGGGCCCGTCACAGGCCGGGCGAGGACCAGCATGGCGCTGACATTGTTGATTTGCTGCAGGGCACAGTGGGTGGGGGGACACGTAGATCACGTCAACCTACACGCCGGGACCCTGTCCTGGCATCACCTCCCTGTCCCATATCTTGAACCCACAAGCAGATGGCTGTGAAGTAGAGAGCCGGTCAGGCCGTGATCTCAGGCTCCCATCTGACTCTGTGATACCCATGACATCTTGGCTCTGGGCACCCAGGCTCCCGCCCTCAGAAATCTCCCACTGGTGCTCTTCCCACACTTTCCATCTAGTTCTTTTGTCTGACCAAAGCCAACTGATGGTTCAAGGCCAGAAGAAAGACTCTTGGGAGTGATGGGGCCTTTGGTGACCTGGAGCAGGCAGACTTCCCTTCAGAGCATCCAATTTCAGAAAGAGAAAACAAGGACTGATATCAGATAAACCCTCGGACCCCTTTCATTGTGAATCAGGCCTGGACCCCTCCTTCCTAACAGCTCCGCCAGCAGCCAGCTGGGTTCTTGGACCCCAGACCCCACACCAACCCCTGCTGCCTCTCTCTCCAAGGCCCAGCTCCATTTGCTTGCCTTCCCCAGACTCTGCTGTGTCTGTTACCTGGACAGGCATGTGCCTTGTCCCAATGGCATGTCCCATGCCAGTGCCTTGTTCTAAGGGTGAAGAAATTGAGGTCACATACGGAAACCAGTGCAGGGACTCAAACCCCAGTGTCCAAGTGCCTGGTCAGAATTGCATTTAACAACCTGTAGTTTGTACCGAGGGAATTTAGAATACCCCTACCTTTCTACAGAAATTCCACCTCCCCGGGGGGCGGGGTTTTGAGAGAAGAGGCGGGGCATGGTGGTATAGGGGACTCTTTCACTTAGGTTGCCTGGAATTCAGTTTTGGATTACGCATGTTAGTTGATGGGTGCAGTTAGGGGAAAGCCTTACCCTAATGTAGAAGTCCCCCTGTGAGTTTCCTGCACGGATCTGAAAGGCATTGTAGGCGCCAGGGTAGACCGAGGTCGCTTGGATCTGGAACACATCCGCGGGCACACTGCGCTCCGAGGTGATGCTCATATAGCGATGCACGATGGAGGAGGGCTGCTCACGGCACAGAGGGTTGGAGGCCGGACAGAGGCAGCGACTAGAGACCCCGAAATGGAGACACAAATGAGGTCCCAGCCCATATCCCGAATCTGGTCCCACCCTACAAACAGGGATCCCCCAAAGGATCCTCCCACTCTTGTCAGAACAGTTTGCATGGTTTACTCATGAAGGACTACAATTCCCATAGACCCTTGAGGCACTGGCCAGGCCAAACGGTGGCCCGTCAGCCGCAGAGCCCTCTGGGAGTTGCAGTTTTCAAAGGGGGGGGGTCTGGCATCGCGATGACTCACTTGTCAGACACCTGGACATAGGGCTCCACGCAGCGGTTGGTGTCCACGCAGCGGTAGCCCCCATGGAAGTTGACACAGGTTTGGGCCTCAGAGCACTGGTGTGCGCCCGACTCACACTCATCAATGTCTGTGTCAGGGGAAAGGGGGCTGGAACCTAGATGTCAGGCCACCAGCCCCTGATACCACCCTCCCCGCCCCACTGGGGCCACCCATACCTTGGCAGAGGCGCGTGGCCAGCAGCTGATAGCCCTGCGGGCAGTGGCAGGAGAAGCGGCCAGGTTCATTGACACAGCGGTACTGGCAGAGGTAACTGGAGTAGCTGCACTCATCGATATCTGAGGGACAGTGTGGATGAGGGCTCTGGACCAAGGGCAGTCCTCCCAGTTCAGTCCCACAAAGGTTTATACAGAGAGCCCGGCCCTGTGTTGGGCTCGGTATGGAAAGACGGAGGGGTGGTGAGACAAAACCTTCAAAGCTCAGTACGGGGACAGAGGAGTCAAAGGAGGCTCCGCCCAGACCGCCCAGCTCCCAGAGCTCTTTGCCCCAGCACCGCCGGACAGTCCTGAATGGAAGCACTGCGAATCTAGAGGCTTGGCTTTAAGTCCTGACCGAGTCTGGGAAACCTCAAAGTCCCTGTCAATAAAATGAGTGGGTTAGACTAGATGTGCCTTGAGGGCCCAGCCTGTTACAGTTTCCAGTAACTTGCCAAATTCCTGCAACCCACAACCAGCCTAAGCACACAGTCCCCTCCCACCAACCACGAGCTCACAGGCAGGAGCCACGGGTCCCGTTCTGGGTCCCCTCATGCGGCCTAGCACGGAGCCAGGCACCAGTGGGGCCCGTACAGCAGCAAAACATAACATAAACAGAGTTCCTGGCTGGCTGACAAGGAGTAAGAAGTCCAGAGTGGACCCCTGGTGCCACCTCACCCTAGCTGTGTGACCTTGGCTGAGTCACTTAACTTCTCTTCATTAAAGGACTTTATGCATACAACTTTTTTTTTTAGCAACCCTACCCCCAAACCTCAGGAGAGATACTACCATCCTTGTTTTGCCAAGGAAGGAAAAACTCATACTTTCATCACAGGATTGCTGGCAGGATTAAACAAGGCCAAGTATGTAAGGGAAATGGGCCACACAGGGAAGGTTCTCAACAAACGCTAGTTCACTTTAAAACATTGTGGCTTGGGGCCTGATGAAGCCTGTCTTGTTATGTCCCGCCTCATCCTCAAGACAATCCACTTTACCGAAAAAAATGGGCTCAAAAGAGTGGCAGGCCTTAGTCCAGAATTTGAATGCACGTCCACTTGACTCCCAAAGAGGGGAGCACCCACATCCTTTGTCAGCCTCCCCAATGAGCTTCCGTGCTCCCTCGTGTTCCTCCCACCCCGTGCCTTCCCCCCAACCCCACCCCAGGCTGGGAGTTCTGATAGGCCAGTATGCAGGTACCAGGCAATCAGCCAGGCACGGAATACAGAGGAGGTATGTGGGTGCGGAACGGGCGGGACAGGGAGACATCAAATGGAGGGCTGTGTGGCAGGAAAGAAACACAGCACGACACGGGGCCTGGGAGCCCCTCGGAGAAGCCCCACGAGGACGGTGCGGGGAGCTCTCACCATTGCAGGAGAAGCCGTCCCGATGAAGCTCATAGCCCTGGTTGCAGCGACACAGGAAGGTCCCATAGGAATTGAAGCAGCGCTGCTCACATGGAGCCCCCATGTCACACTCGTTCACATCTGGGGGTTCAGGGGCAAAAAAACCAGGAAGGATGGAAGCCAAAATGCTGCCCAGAGCGCCCACTGTCCCCAGGCCGGTCAGAAAGAGAGCTCCGGCGCCCCCGTCCCGCCCCGCCCGGGGACCGAGGAGCCTAGCCTGGCCCAGCCTCACCTACACAGGAGCGGTTGTTGGGCCCCAGCTGGAAGCCCGGCTCGCACTGGCAGCGGAAGGAGCCGGGCAGGTTGACGCAGCGGTGCTGGCAGTAGCGGTAGCGGCACTCGTCTATATCTAGGAGGGAGGTCGGGGAGGGGGCAGAGGGCACTGGTCGGCGGGTACTCACTCACAGACCCTCCCAGTCCCATGACCAGTGACGGGAAGGCAGAGGTGGCAGGGGATGAGGGCCGAGCCTGACGGTGGGCCGGCACAGGGGGTCTGGTGCAAGGGTGAGAGCCGGGCCAAGGGCATGGGGCAGGGACTAGAGACGCTCTTTCCGGACTCACCCACACATTCAGGCCCAATCTTGCGGTAGCCATCAGGGCAGGTGCACTGGTAGGAGCCGGGCAGGTTATGGCAATCCTGGCTGGGGCGGCAGTCGTGCAAGGCCTGGGCACACTCGTCCACGTCTGTAGGAGACACCACTCAGCCCCCGCCCGGGAGCCCATGCACCACCCAACGTGACTGACACCTCCTCACGGGGAGGACACAGATCGGGGGCCGTCCGTCAGCCTGGGAGCCACCAGGAGAGGACCCTGCCCAGACTCCCAGGAGTGCTGACTCCAGGGCCTTCCTCCAAGGCTCATGGCAGCCGGGGGTGGGGTACAGATCAGGAAGAGGGGAAGGGGGCAGAAGCTGAGAAGGAGAGCTCTGGCAGTGGGTCTCCAGCAACTGAGAAAGGAGGCTCCAGGTGCTGGCTGGAGCAGTGGGACAGGAGCTGGGACCACCGGCGGCAGGCCCCACACGAAGTGAGGACCTGGAGGGCAATCCGGCTAGCCCCTGCCTTTAAGCAAGGGAGCAACTGTGGTCTGAGTCGTTAAGACGCAGTGACGCCTGGTGGGAGGACTGAAAGCCCTGGAGCCAAGGGGATCCTCACTCACCCACACAGCGCTCTTGCTCGTCAGGTTCGTAGCCTGGTAGGCAGGGGTTGGGGTGTTCAGCGGGAGGCACTGGTGGTGGCGGTCCCTCGCCATGCAGGTCATTGATGACGGCAGCTGAGCGGGGCAGGCACAAGTAGCCCCCATAGTGGTTGATGCATTTCATCTCCCCCTTGCAGGCCTCAGGGATGGTCAGGCACTCGTTGACATCTGCAGAAAGGCGCCTGCTGGGCACAGCCAGTCTCTCGGGCTGGCTGTGAAGTGGGTGGCAGGCAGGAGCCCAGCTCGGCCTTCTATAAGCTGTGTGGCCCAGGCAAGGCCTTTCCTCTCTCAGCTAAGGTAGCCTGCTCAGGACCCCTCCCCGAGGCCTGCTTGCTCACATAGGCACCCCCATACTCTTGTCCCTAAGAGGGTCTCTACTCCTCCCCAAAGCCCTGGCCCTGGCTCAGCCCAAGAGTGACGTGCAGGCCTCTTTTCCCCCACCCCACAGACACTGCCCTCCCAGGACATGATGGGACAAAGCTTGATAGGAGAGTAGTCAGAGGTATCCAAGACCCAGCGTCTCTGGGCAGTGCCCTGTTGCTCTCCCGCCTACTGAGGGGTGGGGGCAGGGTGTCCTGGGTTTCTCGGAGAGGGAGGGGCCTGCATGGCTTCTCCATCCCTAGCTGAGATGGCCCCCAGAGAATCAGAGCTGGCCTCTGCCAAGCGAAGCTGGGCAGAGGACAGGTCAGGGCTCCCCAATGCTGTTCTTGGAACTAAGGTGCCAATCCCTTTCCCAGTTCCTGGGGGTGGGTCAGTCCCCCAAGCACACTCACCCCGGCAGTGCTGGCTGTCGGGGTCCCACTCATAGCCATCTGTGCATTCCTACAAAGGGACCAGAGATGACCAGCAGTCATCCCCAGTCCCCTTCAAATGATCGGGCCAGGATCAGGGCCTGAGCCTGGACACCCTCCCAGCCTGCTCCAAACAATGGCCCTCAGCCGCTTCACCAAGCAGGGGAGGGGAGAGTCTTCCCCCGCAGCAGCCACCCCGGGATCCTGGTCTCTGTGTCCCTACCCAGCCCATCCCAGGCCAGCGGCCCCACTGTCCCCACCGTGTAGCTGTCGGGCTCCTCCGAATCCTGGGGAGACGCTGCCCCCAAAAGCAGCAGCAACAGCGCCCAGAGCAGTAGAGACCCGGGGAGGCAGGAGGCGAAGGGGAGCATCCTGGGGCTGGGAGGTGGTGGTGGTGGAGGGGTAGTAGGGGAAGGGGGGGGTCAGGACGCTTCTGCCACGCACCTCCCCCCCATTCCCCGTACCAGGACTCAGAACCCCGGCCCCAGCCGCCTCCCGCTCGGGACCGGGCTTGGAGTCCCGGAGCTTCCCAGGGCCGAGGGCCCACTCCTCCCGCAGGCCGGGGTTCGGGGCCCACCCGTCCCGAGCCGCCCCGCCCCCGCCCGGTCCCCCAGTGGCGCGGGCCGAGGAGCGCGGGCCTCTCGGCTCTGCGCTGACGCCGACTCCGCCGAGACTCCGGCTCGCGCCCTCCCCCAACGGACCGCCACTCACTTGAGCCCGCGACGCCCCCGCGGCCCGCGTCTCCGGCGGCTCGGTGGTTCCCGCAGTGCCTGCGGACAGACGGACGGGCGGACAGCGCAGCTCCCTGGACGCGCGGCCCCAGGAAGCGCCCCCCGCCCGTCCGCCCGCCCGCGGCGGCGCGGCCCACCCCGGCGCCTCCGCCCGCCCCTCTGCGGATTCCTGAGCCCGCGCCAGGGGGAGGGACCCCGACCCCCCGCTTCTCCGCCCCCGGCCAGCCGCAGGCCCCCACCCGGTCCCCCGCGGCGCTGCCCGGAGCCGCCTCCCGGCGCAGGGCCAGGGTCCCCCTAGCTCCCCATCCTGGGGGTATGGCCTTGATGCCAGGGCCCCAGACTCATCCCGGAGCCCCTAGGCCCTCACTTTGCGCACCCCTGTATGTCATCCTGCGCACCTGGACCCAACCTAATCTGGGCTCCTAGAATTCCACCCTGGGCAACCACATGTTAATGCTGGGGCCTCCACACTCTGCGCCTCCCAGAATGTCATCCTGGGCACCTGGACCCCACCTAATCCTGGGGCTTCTAGATCCTCGCCCTCCGCCCCCCAGAATCTTATTCTGTGCACCCGGACGGTCACTCTGGGACTATCAAAATTTCATTCAGGGTCCCCACACCCTCGCCAGAGGACAAGACGTTCCCAGGCCCAAAACTGTCCAACTCTGTCCCTTCTCGCCTCCATCCCTAGGGCTGTCAGCCAGGTGGTCCCTTCACTGGAAGATGGGCTTCCTCCCAACAGTCGGTCCGCGAAACTACAACAGTTTGGGAACGGGGTCCGCAGTTGCCTTCTGGCCCAGAATGAATGGAAGCCCCGGAGAAGGCAGGCAGGGCTGAGCTTGCGCGTACAGGACGCCAGGGTCCGGTGCCAGTGCCTTACCCGCCCTCCTCCCAAACGGGTCCCCACCCCCACCCCCCAACCTCGGGGTGTCTGCCTTCTCTCTCGAGCAGAAGGCGCGCCTTTCGGGGAGGAGTTTGGGCGGAGTTGGCTCCCAGGAAGGGGCGGGGCCTCTTCCTGCCCACGTCTCAGGGCGGGGCCAGACGGGAAAGGGCCGCGTGTCCCGGGATCTCCTGCCTGGGGGCAGACGAAGTGCGGGAACTGCTGAGCGGTCTCTTCCGTATCCCACCGTTGTTTATCTTCACGGTCGCCCCCAGTGCAGCTCTACCCAGGGAGAGGGTGTACTGATGGGGGCACATGGGTCCTAAGGTCTAGCCCTTGGGGTTCAAGGTAAATCGGAGAGTGCACGCCCCTCCCTCCCCAGATCCTGGGGGCCACAGGGGCTAGGGTGCTAAAAAATAATAGCTCTTTAAAACCAAAAAGATAGTCAATAACAAGTGTTGGCGAGGATATGGCGAAATTGGAGCCCTCATACACTGTGGGTGGGAATGGTCCTCTTTGAAACAGTTTGGCAGGACCTCAAAATGTTACCCATGACCCAGAAATTTCACTCTTCTTTATATACCCAAGGGAATTGAAAACATATGTCCACTGGAAAAGATTCATATACATCATTCATAGCAACACTGTTCGTAAGAACCAAAATGTAGAAACAATCTAATGTCCATTAATTGATGATGAATGGATAAACAAAATATGGTAATGTGATGGAATATTATTCAGCCATAAAAAGGAATGAAGTACTGATGTGTGCCTAAATGAGGATGAATCTTGAAAATATTACCCTAGGTGGAAGAAGCCAGACACAAACATCGTCATATTCCACTTACAAGACACATCTAGAATAGACAAACCTAGGAGACCAATTAGATTAGTGTTTGCCAGGGGAAGGCGGGGGACTAGAGGGCGGCTCCTAATGGACATGGGGTTTCTTTTGGAGTGATGAAAATACTCTGAAATCAGATGGCGGTGAGGATTGTCCAGTCGTGCAAATACACTAAAACTACTGAATTGTATCAAGGGTTTGTTTTTTGTTTTTTTTTACTTAAGTTATCTCACATGGGGGCTCAAACTCACAACCTCAAGATCACAATCGCGTGCTCTTTGACTGAGCTCCAGTGAATTGTATACTTTTGTTTTTTTAAGAGATTTTATTTATTTATTTGAGAGAGGGGAGAGGGTCAGAGGGAGAAGCAGACTCCCTGCTGAGCAGGGATCCTGATGTGGGACTCAATCCTGGGACTCCAGGATCATGACCTGAGCTGAAAGCAGTTGCTTTACTAGCTGAGCCACCCAGGTGTCTGAATTGTATACTTTTAAAAGGCTGAATTTTATGTCCTGTAAATTATGTTTCAATAAAGCTGTTATTTAAAAAATAATAATAAAAATAATAGTTCTTGGTTGTCAAGGTGTAACCTTCCCAGGTACCAGCATGCAACTCATGAAATCCTCCTGCCAAGCCAGTGAAGGGGTGCTGTTATCACCCTGTTTCACGGGTAAAAGAGGCTGAGATTTGGGGCGCCTGGGTGGCTCAGTGGGTTAAGCCGCTGCCTTCGGCTCAGGTCATGATCTCGGAGTCCTGGGATCGAGCCCCATATCGGGCTTTCTGCTCAGCGGGGAGCCTGCTTCCTCCTCTCTCTCTGCCTGCCTCTCTGCCTGCTTGTGATCTCTCTCTGTCAAATAAATAAATAAAATCTTAAAAAAAAAAAAAAAAAGAGGCTGAGATTTGTCCAGAAACAGCCAAAGTGCTAAGGACAGGATCTGAACTCAAGTCACTCTGCTTCCAAGACTCCCCTGGCTCTCTGCCCAGGACCCACCATTTGAATACCTCTTCTGTGTCAGCTGGGGTCAAAGGTGCCCACAGTCGTTCCTCGCAAAGGAATTGTTGCCACTTAGAGATGAGGGTGGGAGGCCCGGAGGGGAATGACTGGGTACACAGTTGGCAACTCCATTTTTGAGTCTTGGCACTATCAGGCACGCGTACGTCCACCACTTGGCATTGCCTCCTTGCAGTGCTTCTCCTGACCTCCAGTACCCTGACTTTCCCTGTCCTCATCCCTTCTGCAGTCAGTCTGGCCCCTCAGGCCCGCCCAAACCACTCACCCCCACTGCCATACTGTGAGAAGAACGAGGAACAGGGAGCGGCAGTAGCTGCCGCTTACTGTGCCCCAGCCTCTGAACTTTACTATTGAAAACCCGTGACAACCCTGGCACCTGGGTGGTTCAGATAGTTAAGCATCTGCCTTTGGCTCAGGTCACGATCCCAGGATCGAGCCCCATGCTGGCTCCTAGCTCAGCGGGGAGCCTGCTTCTCCTTTTCCCTCTGCCCCCGGCTCCCCCTACTTGTGCTGTCAAATAAATTAAAAAATCATAAAAAAAAAAAAAAAACTAAACAAAACAAAACAACCATGACAACCAATTGTGAGGTCTACAGACACACATCAAGGCTGCTCCGGGCCCAGTGCTGGCCTGGGTGCTGCGGACGCAGGTGCGTCAGATGCTTCTAGTGTGGCTTAGACACAGAAACCAAGTGGGCAGAGGCACAGCAGGCGCTCGAGGGGCCACAGGTTCCACCAGAGGACAGGGAGCAGGGTAGGCTTCTTGGAGGATGACCCTTGAGCTGACTTCGTTCCCCAGGATGAGTAAGAGTGCTTCCCCCAGGGGGCAATGACTACCCTTCAGCCCCACCCAGGGTTCGAAGCCTGAGGGCCCCTGTATTCCTTGGACTTCGTGACACTGACGGCCACACATGGCAACGGCTCACTTTGGATCTGTCTATTCCTGTTTCCTTAAGGACTGACTGATTCATCTGTATCCCTAGACTTGCCCAGGACAGGGTGGGCAGACGAGCTCTGCGGACTGAAGAACAAGGCGTAGTGGGCAACAGGTGGGCTGAGGGCTGTAGAGGACAAAAGCCTGAAGGCCGGAGGCAGCTCTTGTGATCCAGGGGTCCACCTCCCTCTCGCAGCCTGGTTTCTCCGTGGTGGTTTCTCCAGCTCCGCCCTCTCAGCCCCTCCAGCTTGGTTAGCACAGCTTCCTGCTCCCCGCACTCTCTCGCCTACAGCACGATGGCCTACACCATGGCACCAACCGTCTACCTCTCCTGTCTCCTGGCCCTGTTGGTGGCAGGCCTGGCTCAAGACATCAAGGACTCCCTCTGGGAGAAGGTAAGTGCCGCTCTCCTTGCTTCCTATGCTCCTCCCTCTGCAAGGCTCCTACCTGGGGCTCACCCTCTCAGAAACAACTGGCTTTATTCCCATTTCTCAGAGAGAGCAACTGAGGCTGGAGAGGGGACTGACACGATGGGGCCCAAGCTAACACGGGGACAGAGCAGGCTAAGCAACTGGTCCCCTAGCCTGAGCCCTGAAAGGCTGGAAGGCGAGGTCTGGTCCCAGCAATGACTCCTCACCTGCTCTCTACAACCCCCCCTCCACCCCATCCCCTTGGTTCCTTCTCAGGACCTAGATCCCGACTTGCTGAAGCTGAAACAGGTCTTCGAGTTGTTCCGCGCCCAATACGACCGGAGTTACTCAAACCCCAAAGGTATCACAGGGCATGTACATCCCCAGTTTACCCCCTCCCCTTCTCCCATTTAATAAATGAGGAACCAAGATTCAGGGTGGGGAATGGGCTGGGCCAAAGCCATTCAGCAAGACAACTGGTAGGGCTAGGGGTATCCTCCCTGGTTTCCTAAATGTACAAAGAGGGCCATGATCATTCTTTGCTATGAAGTTGGAGGGCAGGAAGCAGCTACTGGGGTCTACCCCAGTCCCAGAGAATCTCCCACTTCCACAGCCATTTTCTTGTCACTCCACGCAGCAGGCCAACTACCATCTACTCATGAGTTCATTCAGAAACACCAAAGATACTCATCTTGTCCCCAAGCTGGGGACTCACTCACCATGTCCATGAGGTCCCAGCCCTGCTCCTGCCCTCTGGGTCTCATCTTCACGGGGCAGCGGGCGGGTGGGGGGGGGGGTCTGGGCTTAAGTTCCAGCCCAGGCTGCCCATGTCATGAACCCATAAGCCCCTATCCTTCCCCACCTTCATCAAGTTCCAGCTCAGACCCTGCCATCAGAGGTGTGGGGCAGGTGTGGGAGGGGGCAGAGAACGACCTGGCAGGAAGCCAGTCTCTGACCACCTTTCCCTTCTGAGTCACTCTGCCTTCAGACCCTTTACTTGTCTTCCCTGTGGGTGGGCAGATGTCCCCTTTACTGCCTCTGGGGAAAACCCAACCCTAGAGGGGCTGGGGAGCCACTTCCTTGGCCCAGTTGTCTGCAGTGGGGCCTGCAGTGGCCACAAGAAAGGAGCCAGTGTTCACCTGGGTGGGTGTGAGTGGGAGGGTGCTCAGCCAGCAGCCACTTCCTGCCTCTGGGGGCTTGGGAGGCTGCTGAGAACCACCACCTTTTGCTTCAGAGTATGCTCGTCGCCTGGAGATCTTTGCACACAACCTCGCCCAGGCTCGGAAGATGGAGGCAGAAGACTTGGGCACGGCCGAGTTTGGGATGACTCCATTCAGTGACCTCACAGGTGCTGGATGCTTCCTGGACCCTAGGTGGTAGGTGGGGAGGCCGAGACTTCTCCGGGGATACT